GGGGGAGCTCTGCTCAGCCACAAGCCAGGCTGATGGCTGCCAGTACAGCGGTGGTGGTGGGAGCCTCTCCTGCCTCCTCAGCAGCACTAAGGATGTCAGACTGCAGCTTAGGCCTGCTCCCCGCTGGCAAGTGGACATCCCCCGAGGGCTCCCGGGCTACCAGAGGGATGTCTGACTGCCAGCTTAGGCCCAATCCCCCGAGGAGCGGGCCTAAGCCAGCAGGTGGTCACCCCTGAGGGGTCCCAGACTGCGAGAGGGCACAGGACGGGCTGAGGGACGCCTCCCCCCTCCCCCCCCCGTGCACAAGTTTTTGTGCACCGGGCCTCTAGTCCCAGTATAAAAGACAAAACAAAACCCTTCTCTTTGGATATATTAAGGGTGAGATTTCAATTTATTGGTAACTTTTGAACCTATACATAACTGGCACTTTAGGACCTTGACATTTGTCCTGTTGAAGGTGCTCTGTGCATCATCACACAGGCATTGTGGAGCATGCTCTGCTGTCTTTTTTCACCTGAGGACAAAAGAGCACTGACTGGTATCCTATATGGCACCCCTCCTCTTCACACCCCATTAGGACCTACCAGACTTGGATTGGCATGGGGTGTGTGTGTGTGTGTGTGTGTGTGTGTGTGTGAGAGAGAGAGAGAGAGAGAGAGGGAGAGAGAAAGAGAGAGGGCGTGGGGGAGGGAGGCGCGGTGAAGAAAACGTGTATAGTTGTAGAAATCTGACTTCACAACCATTATTGCTACCAAAATTCTTAGCCTTCTCCATATGGCATCCCCAATCCGTTTTGTTTTCTTGAGTTTCAGAACCTAGTATTTTATTTTAGTTTGTAATGGTCATATAGCGATTTAGATTATGTAACAGAAATGAAAACATGAAGAGTCCCACCTCAACCTTGGAAGCAACCTGCAACCTCTCCTCCCGGGCCTCGGCCGTTAGATTTCCGCGCCGCCGGCTGGGTCAGGAAGCAGGGACCCCACCGGCTTCGCGCACCTCCCTTCCCTCTCCCACCTCCCTTCCTCTCTCCCGCTCCCGCCCCCGCCGGTCTCTCCGGCTCTCACGAGGCCGGGCGGCCGCCGGCTTCGGTATCCCGCCTTCCCCTCCTCCGCCCCACCGGCCCATCGCACAAAGCC